GTTAAAAACAAACCCTAAAAATACCTGGAAAAGAGATTTAAAACACACCCGGAAAAAGAGGGGGAAAACACCCGGAAAAGGGGGCTAAAGCACACCCGGAAAACAGGTTAAAAAACACCCAGAAAAGGGGTTTAAAACACCCCAGAAAAGGGATTTAAAAAAAACATCCAGAAAAGGGGTTTAAAAAACACACCCAGAAAAAGGGTTTTTAAAAAACACCGAGAAAAAGGGTTTTTAAAAAAAAAAACTGGAAAAAGGGATTTTAAAAAGATTCCAAACAAACAGAAAAGGGGTTTAAAACCACCCCAAAACAGCTGGAAAAGAGGTAAAAAACACCCCACCCAGAAAACGGGGTTAAACTCCCAGAAAATGGAGTGTCAACACCCTAAAACACCCGGAAAAGGGAAAAAAGATGGAAAAGGGGCTAAAAAAAATCACCTGGAAAAGGGGCTCAAAAACCCCATGGAAAAAGGGAAAAAACCCGCCCTAAAACCACCCGGGAAAGGGGTTTTAAAACCCCCAGAAAAGGAGCCAAAAATCACCTGGAAAATGGGCTGGGAAAAAAAATCACATGGAAAAGGGAGATAAAAGCTCCCAGAAAAGGGGGAAAACCCCCTAAAAAGAGGGTTCAAAACACTCCTGGAAAAGAAGGGGGTAAAAATCACCTGGAAAAAGGGGGTAAAAACACCCAAAAACCTCCAGAAAAGGGGAATAAAAACCACGGAAAAGGGGCAAACCTCCCAGAAAAGGGGTGAAAACCCCCAGGAAACATCCAGAAAAGGGGCAAAAAAAAAAGTGGGAAAGGGGTAACAAAAAAACTGGGAAAGGGGTAAAAAAACCCCTGGAAAACACCTGGAAAACGGGGCAAAAATCTCTGGAAAAGGGGAAAAACTCGGGAAAGGGGGCAAAAATCCCTGGAAAAGGGGAAAAACACCCTCAGGAAACAGGCTAAAAATAAAAACGGAAAAGGGGCAAAAACACCTTCAGGAAATAGGTTAAAAAGCCCTGGAAAAAGGGGAAAAGCCCTGGAAAAAGGGGCTAAAAAAGCCTGGGAAAAGGGGCTAACCCCCCCCCCCTCAGAAAATAGGTTAAAAAGCCCCAGAAAAGGGGAAAAAAAACAGAAAAAGGGAAAAAAAAACCCGCAGGAAATAGGTTAAAAAGCCGCAGAAAAGGGAAAAAACCCCGGAAAAGAGGAAAAAAAAAACCCTCAGAAAATAGATTAAAAGGCCCCAGAAAAAGGAGCTAAAAAGCCTTTAGAAAATAGGTTAAAAATCCCAGAAAAAGGGGCTGAAAAACCTGGAAAAAGGGGCTGAACACCCCCCACCCCCCCAAAAAAAGGGGGGGAAAAACCCCCGGGGAAAAAAAAAAAGGGGGCTGACCCCCCCCCCTTCAAAAAACAGCTTTAAAAAGCCCCGGAAAAGGGGACAAACCCCCGGAGCTTAAAGAGCCCCGGAAAATGGGTTCAAACCCCCCGGAAAAGGGACTCTGGACTCT